TCTACCTGTGACCTAACTAATTTTTTGGAAAGTTCCAGCATCACCTATTCGTTGGGTAATAAATTCAAGTATCCCATATGCCTTCTTAACCACTGTCTCTACCTGTGCTGCTACCTTAAGGGACCAGTGTATATGTCACTTATATCCTCTGTGCCTCCTCGGATCCTACCATTCATCATCTATTCCCTTGCCTTGTTTATCCTGCCCAAATGCATTACCTCACACTTACCTGGATTGAAGTCCATTTGCCTCTGATTTACATCAGTACTCCATTGCTGCTCCTTTTCCCCCATTGCAGTCCCTCTCCTGACTTTGCAGCTCCCTTTCTCACCCAATAACCTTTTTCAGCCCCTTTCTTTCTTTGGAGCCTCAGTTTCACCATTGGCACTGTCTCTTTCCCTGCCCTTGTTCTGGAGCCTCCTCCAGCCCCTTATTTGATAGCACCTTCCAATTCATATTGTCGCCCACCTAGCACAAGGACAGCAGATAAAAGGACATCATCGCCTACAAGTTCACCTCAAAGTCAGGCACCCTTCCTGACTTTTCCTGTGTGAATATCCCGTAACTCTCTTCCTAACAATACTTTAAAATAAGAGTTAAAAGCACGAGGGCTATGCTGTCCGTCAAGGCCATTCTAACATTCAGTAGAAGTATTGGTAATCATCAGCATTAACTTCACTTTCTTGCCTGCTCACTGTATTGTTGAGACCATTATTGTTTTACTTTACTTTCTGCATTTTTGGTTTGGAAGTATGAGCTGTACTTCAGAGTTGACCTTTGGACTTAGAGCTGCAACTTTTGTTTTAAAAAGAAAGAACAATCAACTGATACTTGTTCATGGACACTGCCCTTGAAAATTGTTTTAAGAACACTGTAGGTGTTTTGGACCTAAGATGCACTATGCTTAAGGACTAGCAGATTCTTGGATGTTAAAAGAAGTCTTCACAAGGAGGCCGGTGCTGACCAGTCAATCAAAGAGAATGTTAAAAAAAGAGAAACTATACACTGAACAGGTTTTTGTTTGACAAAAGGCAGCGTGACAGTGAAAGCTGCTGGACAGAGTTTTGGTTGCTCTCTAGTTATCCTCCAGTGATCAACTTATGAAAGTTCTCAAAAATCAATCCCTGATTATAATAAATAAGTGAGCAATCCTTGGAGCCTGGTGGAAACTGTTTGCATGAATAGGTGATTTTGGAATTCAGGCAAGACATACAGTTTACTTGCCTCTGAATAATTCCATTTACCAAGGATTTTGAAAGGCCTGGTACCCATTGTGAAACTGTTGAACTGGCAAATTACAGTTCTTTATTTTTCTTTTAATTTGTCCCTTAACTGTGTCTGTCTATATTTATGAGCGGGGGTTATGAGTAAAGAAGATTGGGTTTAAGTCATAGAGATTAATTAGATTACCTTGTTTTTAACTTTGCTTTGCTAAAGTTAAAGAGGGATCGGTTAGCTCAGTTGCTTGAATGGCTAAGTGATATCAACAGTGGGGTTGTGGGGTTCAGCAGAAACCCACAGGGCAGGAAGGAGTTAAGGGAAACTTAATTGTATCAGGGAAACTTAATTGTATCAAGACAACAAGCCCCTTAAGGGAAACAGGTACTAGTTGTTAAAGAATTACAATAATAACACCCTGTAACAGAGAAAAGAAAGTCTGTATTGATTATATTGAGGATCTGACACCTGTAGTACTTTGTGTCTGGTACAATGTGGTATGAAGGGAAGCCACATCTACTGTCTGTAAGAGAGAGAGAGAAGAGAGAGAGATCCAGCTCGAGCTTCGACCCAGAACCATGTAACAGCAAGCTCTCCGAATAAAGACACCTGGAGGCCATTTTATTGTCACTCTGTCTCTCACTCTGGTTCGCGGTACACGAAGAACCTCAACAACTTGGCATAGTCGGCAGGATCACAGGAATGGGTCTACTTTCCACACAGTCGTCGCTTCGCTCTACAGTGAGGTAAGAACTCATCTTTTCAAAAAGGCCCGACCCCTTTTTGGAAAGTACTGTACAATGTGATCTGAAACAAACCTCGAATCTATTTACAGTGAATTCTACTTAAAGGGAGACGTCCCCGTCAGTAATTTGCTAAAAAATATGTCTGTTGGCTATGAATTCTTATAAATAAGAGAGTGGTAATAATGGCTGAGAAACTACCAACTACAGTAAAGGGTGGCTGGGCACCGCCTGATATATTGGAGAAGGAACTTTTACAGAAACTAAAAGGATATATTGAGCGACAATTCAACTTCTCTTCCACCCTAGCTGAAATCTCAAAGAAATACGGAACCTCCATGGGACAATGGTCCCTAGATGATATAAAGCGAGCCTGGGGATAAACAACCCTACTCGGGGATAAAAAACGAATCCCTTGGTCCCTGTGTGTCACGTAACAACTAAGACAAACACAGGAAATCATTGTTAAGTCAAATTATGACAGAGAAAATGATAGCCTTAAAGATAAATTGTCCATTGTCTGTAGTGAATTAAAAACTACCAGAGACTGACAAAGGCACTAAAGGAGATGGAACACCTTAAATCAGGCAGAGGGCCATATCCTGCAGACCTCTGCTTTATAATCATTCCCCAAGCAGACCCAATGCCCCGTTAGTCCCTGTCTCAGATTCTGACCCCAAAGAGGAAGAAGGACAAGAGCCCCCAGCCCAGATGTGACCGGTCCGATATGAGCAGAGTAACACCATAAGGAAACTGATATAGATGCAGATGGCAAACCGACAGGCAAAACCTGATATGATTTTAGGAAATGTGTTCTCACGAACTTCCCGACCTCAAATTGGTTGAACGATGGTCCAAAGAACTGCAAAAAAATCCTCTATTGATTATATTGAGCATGTGATACTGTAGTACTTTGTATCTGGTACAATCTGGTATAAAAAGAAGCCACATCTACTGTCTGTAAGAAATAGAGCTAAAAGAGAAGAGAGAAAAGAGAAAGAGAGAGAGAGAGAGTTCCACTTCGAACTTAAGCCCAGAACCGTGTAACATGCAAGGTCTCCAAATGAGGATAACCGAAGACCATTTTACAGTTTCTCTATCTCTCATTCCAGTTCGCGGTACAAGAAGGGTTTAATTCCAGCCAGGACTGAGGTTGCCATGAAGGACCCTGCTTCTCCACCCCCACCCTCTCCTGAGGCATGGTGGCCCTCAGAATAAACCACCACCAGCCATCTCTGTCTCTATTGAGAGAGCAGCCCAATGATCTGGCAAGACTATGGGAATTCCATTTTACTTCCAGTATTAATAATGAATTTGTAATTTCTGCTTAAGCTGTAAATGTGGTGTCTGACATTATTTGTAAAGTCTGGTTAAGAACAGTCGGGTGACTTTGATTGCTATATGTTCATTATTGGAGTATTTTTGGAATATGGACTAAAAGTGAGAAAAATGGTCACTGCTTAAATGAGCACATTACAAGGAGATGTGCAAAACAAATGAAGCTAACTAATGCTCATGAGACAATGCTAGCTTTGGAGATGCAGAGTCCACACAAATTGGCACTGTTTGTTAAGGGTTCAGGAGAGCTCAATGTAGGAACCAGCCCTCTGATTAATCAGATTGCAATTTAACACAGACTCTGAGGGCAATGAAACAGACAAGTAAGGAATCTACCTCCTGAAGTTAACTGCATTGTTTTTTCTCTTTTCCCATGTTCTGTAAAACTGTTGTTTTAAATTTTCTGTCGAAAGAGCAGAAAAGCTATGTTTGGTGACATTGAAAGAAATAATTGTATAACCCAAAGACAACCAGAAAGACGTCAGGTCTAATCAAACAACCAGTGAACTACAGACTGATCATGGCAATGCAGATAACATTAAGGCATCATCAAAGAATTGAAAGGAATATAAAATAACTTATCTAGTTTTGTGATTTTGGACTGGTAATACAGTAATTGGTTTTCCTGATATTTTTCTTCCAGCCCATTTATGATATTTGTGTTTTGTCTCTTTTTGTTTGTATTTGTGTGTGTGTATGTGTTGGAGTTTTAAAAGAGAGAAAGCTTAAGCAATGTGAATTAGAAATTCTGTTCTTTTACTGTTCTTGTCAAAGAGTATTATAAAAAGTAGTTATACTTTTATTGTGACTGAAGGAATTTGGTGTGGTTTGCTTTTATCAAGGGTAGCGGTCAGAGGCAGATTGGAATTTTTGGTGACTCCATAAAATCTTAACATTTATAGAGTCATACAGAAAATTTGTCGCAACTCCAGGAACAGTGGGGATTGAGTTCGAACACATATCCCAAGTATGGCGTAACATAATCCATTATCCTTTGGGTAGAGCATTCCAAAGATTCACAACCCTTTGAGTGAAGAAATTTCTACACATTTCAGTCCTAAATGATTAGCTCCTTATGCTGTGACTGTGTTTCCGTGTTCTGGATTCTCTAACCAGGGAAGGCAATCTGTGAGTATCTATCCTGTCAAGCCCTTTCAAAATTGTGTGCTTTTCAATGAGAACCTACTTTCAAATAGGCATGTATTGACTTCCAATCATAACTGGATAACATATACCATGTGTGTTACAGTGATTTAAGAAGATCACTCACCACCAGGCTCCTTTCGGAAATTAAGAATAGAGCAAAAGTCCTTTCTACCCGAATTTTAAGTATTGAGTAAAAACTGAAAGAACTGTGGATGCTGTGAATCAGGAAGAAAGACAGAGCCTTCCTGCTCCTCTGATGCTGCTTGGTCTGCTGTGTTCATCCAGCTCTACACCTTGTTATCTCAGATTCTCCAGCATCTGCAGTTCCTACTATCTCAGAAAGACAGAAGTTGCTGGAAAAGCTCAGCAGGTCTGGCAGTATCTGGAGAAAAAATCTAGAGTTAACGTTTCAGGTCTGGTGACTCTTCCTCAGAGTTCTGAGAAGGGTCACCAGACCCAAAGCGTTAACTCTGTTTTAAGTGTTGAGGATTGTTAGGTCAAAGTTGAGAACATTCTGCCTTACTCTGTCTTAAACTTCTGCTTTTCTGTGTGTAGCAAGAGGAATACCCAGAGGTGGAAATGCTTTGGCTGATGACTCGAGCTTGGAATACTGGGGCTTCCTTGTATAGTTTGGGTAAATATGCTGAGGCGGAGAAATGGTGTGGGCTTGGAATGCGCTTCCTCAAATATCTGGGATCCCTCCAGGCCAGCTATGAAAGTCAGGTAAGACCCATTCACAGTAAGAATCACTCATTTATAGAATATATATAAAATTAATTGCTTAATTAGTTATTAGCTTTCATATATAAACTATTGCATTCATTTACTGCCCTTAATGCATAAAAAAATTCCAAGGCACTTCCATGTACAAGTGAAAAAGAAATTGATGCAAGCCAAAGAATGAGATAATAGCAGGATTGATGAAAGTGTTGGTCACGATTATAAGTAAACTCATAGTGGGGAACAGGGAGGTAGAACAGCAAAGAGGTTTAGTGGGGAAGTGCGAGTATGAGAACAGCAGGCTAAAGGCATGGTTGTTAGTAGTCACAAGCAAGGTAGTATTAATTATCCATTCCTAATTGTCTTGAACACATTGGGCTGGATTTTTAGGTGGTGCAGGTCAGGAAATTTTCATACTTGGCATGTTCTAGGCAGCCGTAGGCACTGGTTAATTGACCTAGTTAGAAGGCTTGAGTCAATTCTCTAGGCTTTATCCTAGGTGGTTGAAAAGCTGTTCAGTCTTCTGACCTCATCCATATACTCACCTTGTTATGGACCAGACCAAGCCCCCTCAAAATATTTTAAGAAGATAGCCTAGACTGCAACTTTTTTCTGATTTTCAAAGGCATTTGTAAGACGTTGCATTCTGGATGCAGTTCAATTGGTCAAACTACGAGACTTGAAGCAAAATACACTTTATTCTTACGCTCCTGTTAAAATACAGACAAAATAAGAATTTTTTTGGAAAAAATGCTTGACTATAACTCTATCACAGTGCTTAACAAGATGGTATATATGTTAACTACCACTGATTAGCTGTTCTAAGATAATAAACTCCCATAAATGCACCTTTGGCAAGGGCAAATTCAGTTAAATAGATCGTCTCACATGCAATGTTTCTCCAGTCCAGAAGGAAAGGACATCAAGAGAAAACTCTGAGTGAGTGAGAGAGAGAACTCAAGCATTTTGCTGTAGCAGGGAGAGATGTATAGCAGCTTCCAAACCCCAACAGCTACTGAAAGTTAAACTAAAATCCTGGCTCCGTGGGAGATTGACCCCACCCATTCATGCTGCCTCTAATCTTCCAATTTAAAAAAAAAACCAAGGTCTCCCAAGCTGTTAACTTCATTGGCTTGGAACAGACTGCTCCTTACCTCTGTCTCAACCTCTCTTCTTCAAAAGCACGGGACAAAATACACCTCTTAAAACTTTTGTATTGTCACAGCCCCCATGTCAAGTCTCACTAGCCACTGACACAGTATTTGCCATCAGCATACATTAAAAGCCAGATGAAGTTGAAGAAGTATAAATATTGAAATGTCGGTACTCCTGTCACTAATGCATACTTGCCAGGGAAAGAAAAATGCCATTCATGAACCCCATTCAAAGCTTTTAAATCATGTGTTCAATCTCTTAAAATAAACTTGCATTGAGACTCACATAAAAGACAGCTGATACTTTAATAGGCCATTTAAACTCTCAATCAAACTGAACTCCAAACCTCTTACTGTGCTATTTGTAGCTTTTGAAATTCAACCATTTATTCATAATGACATGAGCTATCATTTGGGAAATATCATGCTTGCTCCACCATTCAACATAATCATCGAACTCAGTACCCGATTTCTGTTTTCTCCCCATATGCTTTGATCTCTTCAGAGCTAAGAATTACATCTAACACCTTTTTGGAAAACATTCACTATCTTGGTCTTCGCTTTCCTGTGAATCCTAATGGCATATCCCATATCCTTGGACTGAGCCCCTGGTTCTGGGCCTCATGTTTATCAGGAACTTTTTCCTATGTTTACCTTGTCTGGTCCTGTTAGAATTTAATAAGTTTTTTTTAATATTCCTTTGTGGGTCGTGGGCATTGCTGGCTGACCAGCATGTATTGACAATCCCTAGTTACCCTCAAGAAGTTGGTGGTGAGCTGCCTTCTTGAATGGCAGTCCACATGCTATTGGTTGACCTACAATGCCCTTAGGGAGAGAATCCCAGGATTTTGACCCAGCGGCAGCGAAGGAACGGCAATTATATTTTCAAATCATGACGGTGGGCAGCTTGATGGGGAACTTGCAGGTAATAGTGTTCTGATGTATCAACTGGCCTTGTATTTTGAGATGGAAGTGGTCATGGGTTTGGAAAGTGCTGTCTGAGGATCTTTGGTGATATTCTGCATTGCATCTTGTAGATAGTGCACACTGCTGCTACTGAGTGTCAGTGGTGGATATGCTGCCTTTCGAGCAGGCTGTTTTGTCGTGGATGGTGTCAAGTTTCTTGAGTGTTGTTGGAGCTGGACCCATCCAGGCAAGTGGGTAGTATTCCATCACACTCCTGACTTGTGCCTTGTAGACGGTGGACAGTTTCCGGGGGATCAAAAGGTGAGTTAATTGCTGAAGTATTCCTAGCTTCTGACTTGCTTTTCCAGCCATCGTGTTTGTGCGGCAAGTTGAGCTGAGTCAATGGTAATCTCAGAGATGTTGATAGTGGAGGATTCATTGATGGTAACACCATTGAATGTCAAGGGGTGGTGATTGTTTTTTTATTGGAGATGGTCTTTGTGTGGCATCTGTGTGGCACAGATGTTACTTGCCACTTGTCATTACTGCCTGGATATTGTCAGGTCTTGCTGCATTTGGACATAGGCTGCTTCAGTATCTAAGAAGTCAGGACTGGAGCTGAAAGTTGTGCAATCATTGGCAAGCATCCCCACTTTTGCTAGGGCTCCTTGATTACTCGGTTGAATGTAGCCTTGGTGTAAAGGGCTCTCACTGTCTCCTAACCTCTGGAATTCAGCTCTTTTGTCCGTGTTTAAACCAAATGAGGTCAGGAGCTGAGTGGCCCTGGCAGAACCCAAACTGGGCATCACTGAGTAGGTTTCTATGTGATCTCACCTCAGTTTTCTAAACGTCAGTGAATGTAGTCCCAACTGTCTAGTTTCACTTCAGACATCAGTCCTGCTATACCAGAAAAAATTGTGGCAAACCTTCGTTACACTCCATCCGTAGATAAGGAGACCAAAACTGCATACAGTTCTCTAGGCGTGGCCTCACCAATACCCTGTACAATTGTAGCAAGACAAGCCTGCACTTGTACTTGAGTCCCCTGGCTATGAAGGCCAGCATGCTATTTGCCTTTTGCACTGCCTGTGGAACACTCAGGTCTTGTTCCACCTCCACCTTTCCCAATCTGTGCCATTCAGATAATAATCTGTCTTCCTGTTTATATGAGCTAAGCAGATAACCTTTAATTAACCCACATTATTCTTCATCCTTCATACATTGTCCCCACTCACTCAACTTGTCCAAACGACAGAAAAGCATCTCTGAATTTCCTCACAGTTCACCCTCCCACCCAGCTGTATTGAAAGTGAACAATGTATGGTAATGACTTTTCCTTAGCTGGATCAGATTAAAAGCATTCCGGCTGATGCTTTTGTTTTAAAACATTACTGACAGCTTTAAGTCTTAAGCTTGAAGTTATATTTTTCCAAGTTTATCAAATAAGGAATTCTGAGAACTTCAGATCAGGGCATTTTAACAGATCTAATTTGCCCTTTGAGAGTATTTATTGCCTATTCCATTAATTTGTCACTACCAGCGTGAGTTAAGGCCTTTGAACCCATCCAAAATGGTGTAAACACAGTACTAATGTTCAAGTCAACTTGCTGAGTTTGGATTTCCTCGTTTGTGTGAATCATTCCCTGAACTCTTTCCCTTCCTGGCAAACATCAGATTTTTAGAAAATAGGCCAGGAATTCAACATCTGGGCCCCACATTGATATTTGAAGGTCTGCAAATTCCTCCTAACTCTGAACATCTGGTTCATTGAGTCAACCATCTAGTATGAGATTGGAATTACAGTTGCATTCCAGATCTGGTCGGGGTAGGTGATTCCTTCTTGTTTCCCACAATTGAAGCAATATCTTTCACTTTGACCATTTTTTTGTATAAATTTGTACACTCAATTTTCTGTACCGCTTGCTTAGTATCTTAATCATTAGGTAACCATACGTGAATCGAGTACTTATGGAAAAAGTAAGTCAGAATGTGTGATGGCTTTAGTTCAACCAGCTATTTCCAGCTTCCATGAAATAGCAGTTAGCATTCCAAGATTGCTATGTGTCATTCAGCAGTGCCATCATGACAGCAATTATAAAAATATTAATTAACAGAGCTTGTGGCCTTAAAAGCAATTTCTCTGGATGTATTTCACTTCTAAAACTGACTGATTAAATACTTAGTAAGACGGTGGTACCTTGATCAAAATTGAAAAACTCTATTTTGTTAAAATGTGTGTATGTTTTAAAGTATTGGTCATTAGGAATATAAAGTAAGGATAAAAATATCATGTATTTCTTTATAGTCAAACATAGCTGGTGTAAGAGATAGTAGGAACTGCTGATGCTGGAGAATCTGAGATAACAAGGTGTAGAGCTGGATGAACAAGGCAGGCCAAGCAGCATCAGAGGAGCA